TATTTTAAATCTGAGGACACAAACAGGTTGAAACTGAAAGAATGGAAAAAGATATACAATGTGAACTCTATTCAAAAGAAAGCTGAGATGGCTGTATTAATAACTATTAGAAAAACTAGATGTTAAAGCAAAGAATATTACCAGGGATAAAAATGGTAACTGCATAATAATCAAGAGGACACAGTAATCCTAAACACTTATGTGCTCATCATACTTCAAAAAACATAAAGCAAAAACTGGTAGAACTTTAAGCAGAAACAGACAAATGCACAAGTATAGGAGGAGATTTCAATATTCTTCTCTCAAAAAGGGATAAAACAATAGACAGAAAATCAGGAAGGACAGATATGACTTGAACATTATCAATAAACTTGACCTGACATTTACAGAACATACCACCGAACAGCAGCAGAATACACACCCCTATCAAGCGCACATAAAACTAAGAGGATATATGACATTTGGACCATAAAATAAGTCTCAACAAATTTTCAAAGATTCAAGTCTTACAAACTATTTTCTCTAGCTTCAATGGAATTAAATTAGAATAACAGAAAGATATATAGAAAACTTAAATTATTTGGTAATTAAATAACATGCTTCTCGACAGCCCATGGGTCAAAGAGATAAAACTATTAGAATGTATTTTGAACAGAATGAAAAGTACACATGTCAAAATTTGAGAGATGCCATGAAAGCAGTATTTAAAGGGAACTATATAGCACTAAACTTGTATATTAGAAAAGGTATCGTGTCAATGACATCAGCTTCAATGTAACAAAGGAGAAAAAGAGTAAACAAAATACAAAGCACAAGAAAATTAAAACAGCAGAAATCATTAAAATAGGAAACAGAAAACAACAGAGAAAATCCAATGAAACTAAAAGCTGAGTTTTGGAGAATATTAATAAAATCAATAAACCTCCAGCCAGACTGACAAGGAAAAAAAAGAGAAGAAACAAATTACCAGCATCAGGAATGAGAGGTGAAATCACTGCAGACTCTACAAATACCAAAAGTATAACAGTATAAAAAGGTATTATCATTTACAACTCCATGTAAATACATTCAATAATTTGGAAAAATGGACTAAGTCTACGGACGACACAAATTACCAAAGCTCACTCAGGAAGAAACAAAACCTAAATAGTTCTACCCATTAAATAAAATGAAACAAAGCAAAAACACACCAGTCTACACAGCTTCACTGGTGAATTGTACCCAACATTTAAGAAAGAATATCATTTAGGTTGTTTACCCTACTACCAGGAACAAAGTAAAGTCACCTGTTCTCATCACTTCTATTCATCATTGTACTAGATGCCATAGGCAAGAACAAGAAAAAAACGGTATCCAGATAGAAGAGAAGATACATAAATGGTCTATGTAGAAAATCTGATGACGTCTACAAAACAGCTATTAGATCTATTAAGTGAGTTTGGCAAGAGTGCAGAATAAAAGAGCAATATACAAAAATCATTTGTATTTCTATACACTAACAACTGGAAATTGAATTTTTTAAAATAGCATCCAAAAAAACATGAAATAGAGATAAATCTGACCAAAAAATGTACAAAACCTGTATAGTGAAAACGAAAAACACTGCTGAAAGAGATTAAAGATGATCTAAGGGAGAAATAAATTGTGTTCATGGATGGAAAAACTCAACACTATTAAGATGTCAATCTTTTCCAAATTGTTTTATAGACTCAAGTTAATTAAAATAAAATCTCAGCAGGCATTTTTTGTAGAAACTGGCTCATATGAAAACGTAAAGGACCCGGAGTCAAAACAACTTTGAAAAAGCACAAAGTTGGAGGATCATGACTACTTGATTTTAAGACTTCACATAAAGTCACAGCAGTTAAGACAGTATGTTTTTGGCATCTAATAGACAGCCAATGGAACGACTCCAGTACAGATAGAATCATACATACATAGATAAGTGATTTTTGACAAAGGTGCAAAGCCAATTCAAGGGAGAAAGGACAGCCTGTTCAACGAATGGTGTTGGAAAAAGTGGATGTCCATATTCAACACCAAAAAACGTTGATTCAGACTTTGCACCATATTCAAAAAATTAACTCAAAAAGACTTTAATGCAAAACCTAAACTATAAAACTTCTATTAGAAAACAACGGAGAAATCTTTGTGACCTTGGGTTAGACAAAGATGGCTTAGATACGACACTAAAAGCATGATCCATACGAGATAAAAATTGGTAAACTGAAGTTCGTCAGAATTGAAAACTGCTGTTCTTCAAGACACTGTTGAGAGAATGAAAATATTAAGTGGCAGAAAATAATATTTGTAAACCATGTATCTGATAAAAGACTCGTAACCAGAATGAAGACTTCTCAAAAGTCAATAATAAAGAAATAACCCAATTAAAAAAGTAGGCAAGAGATTGAAACAGACACTTCACCAAAGACGATATTCAGCTGGCAGAAAGCACATGAAAGGATGTTCAACATCATACACATTACAGAAATGCAAATTAAAACCAGAAGATTACCACTTCACACCCACGAGAATGTCGAGAATCAAAAACAGACGACAGGCATTGGAGAGGATGTGGAAGGACTGGAAATCTCATACACTGCTGGTGGCAACGTAAAATAGTACAACCACTACGGAAAATAGTTGGCCGTTTCTTAAAAAGTTAAACATATGCCTACCATATGAGCCAGCCATTTCAATCATAGGTATTCCCCCAAGAGAAATGAAAGCATATGTTCATACAAAGACTTGTACAGGAATGTTCACAACAGATTTATAATAGCCAAAAACTGGAAATAACCCAAATATCCATCAAGAGTTGAATGGATAAACAAACTGCTATATATCTGCACAATATAATATTAATAAGCAATAAAAAGGAAGAGACTACTGATACACAACATGGGTGAACCTCAAAATAATTATGCCAAGTGCAATAAGCCAGACCAAAAAAAAGGGTACACGTTAATTCCATTTATTCAAAATTAAAAAAAAATGCAAACTAATCTATAGTGACAGAAAGCAGAAATAGCAGTTGCTCGGGCAAAGAAAGGCAGATGGGAAGGACTACAAAGGAGCAAAATAATACTTTTGGAGGTGATGTAGGTTCATTACCTTGATTGTGATGATGATTTCATAGGTGTATACATATGTCAAATCATTGTATACTTTAAATACGTGCAGTTTATGTCAAATTATATCTCAATAAAGTTTTTCTTTCCAGAAAGGGCAAGATATGGGCCAGGACACATGGTATGAATCCATTTGTGTAAATAAATAAGGATGTTTATATGTGTGGTAATATATAAACTAATAATTTCAGGGAAAAAACCCACCAGAAAAATTTTAACATAACTACATATACCTAAGGAATAAGACTGGGCATCAGGGAGAAATACTTCCAACTTTGAATTTTTTAACCATGTGCATGTATTACTTTTACAAAAAGAAAAAATTTTATGAAAGCTTAATTACTTGTACATAGGTCTGACACCAAAATAAAAACTCTTAATCGTATCCTAGAAAATCATATAGAGCATAACTTGAGTTACTCAAACTTTTATATTAAACAAGGGATAAAAAATAGTTAGCAATTATTTTTATATCATTTCCTAATGCTTTCTCCTCAAACTAGTACTAACATAGAAAACTAGTGTAATCAATAAACCATATCTAGACATCTGATTCCGAGTCTCCTCATTTCTCTATGCCTACTCATTCTCAGTCTTACCTGAGGTTCTTCTCTCCCCATCCACTAATAGCATAACTCAGACTTCTATCACCTATTCTTTTACAAAATTCGCTTCCAGAGGATATCTGTTTGGATGGTAACTACAATATCTACATCTTGCACTCTTGACCTATTCCTGATTTCTAATCCTACAACTATCTCAACTTAGAAACTATCAGTGCCAAATAGAAAGAAATATACCTTCCCCAAAAGAAGCTCATTATTTCTCCCCCAATCTACATAACATGAACTCAACAAATAAGCCTACATGTTAAATCATGGACAAGTATCTAATTCACTATAGGGTAGAGAACGGAAAATAAGCAAGAAAACGCAAAAGTACTCTAAAGAATCTCACACTGTTTAGGATAAAATTTCAAGAATTCCAAAAAGTATTGTGACCAGTCAGCATCACTGAGCTAAGCACACAGCCTCTCATGACTACTCACACTTGAAGGGGGGAAAGGTCATTGCATCCACCAAGTATCTGAGTACTAGGCTTTGGAAAATGTTGTGCAGACTTGGAAAATTCAAAAGATGTAAGACAAGGACCATGCCCTAACAGGGTAGACAGGCTTGCAAACAAAAATTATAAGACATGATGATGTTAAAATGTGCAAGGATTAAAGGACACAAGAGGCCTAAGCATTAGAACTAAGGTTTAAAGAATGAGTAGTTTTCCTGACCAAAAAGTCTGTGAGGAAAGATCCCAAAGAACCTCTACCATAAGGCCTGTTTCCCTTTAACAGCAAGAAAAGCCAGCTCTTAACTTGTGACTCTTTTGAAGCTGATTGCCTAAACACATCTTTTCTTTTTAAGAGTCAGGTAACTATTTCCAATGTGGCTTATTACTAACAAAAAAATATTTTAGTCCTCATAAGAGAGAAGAGAAAAAAATATTCTTAGGTTAACAAAATTACATAATTTAGGTCAAATCACTTTATCTGGCCACTTAAGGCCATAATTTCCGCTTCAGAAAACTGGGATATCATTTTATATTCACAAGAAGTCATGTCTGAAAGCATTTCCAATTCCCTGAGTACCATTCATACCAAGTTTAAAATGTTCTCACAGACTGCCTTTCCAGAAAAACTTACGGTGGTTGTCTAGTGAAACTATTTTTATAATCCAATTTTTAAAATTAAATAAAACACTTTACATTTAGGTTTTGTTAGCTATATTATAGTTTTCAAACGCTAAGTGAAAATTTCCATTAATGATAATAGCAGATGCAGTAATCCAGTTTTCATTAGTTTCAATCTTGTCCTACCTTCACGCCAACTGCAACCTCAGTGACAATTCTGTAAAGAAAAAAACAGTTAGTTTCAACTCCTTGTTATTCTTCTAATGGTCACTGTTTGACTCAACTTTTTAAGAGTCGTTCATCATTCATAAACCTTCCACTCACAATGCAGATGCAAAACAAATACACAGATGGTCAGTGACACTTCTTTGCACTATTATCAACTTAGTTTTCTTGAAATTTTCAAACGTGAGATGAAATTCACTAAACTTATGGTATGGTATTTTTTAACACTTTAAATAGCAAAAAGAACAAAACCCCAAACACTACAATGTCACTTTTACAAAACTGGTACACTTAGATTAGTAATTTAAAATTTGAATCAACTCTTTAGTCACCTTGATAGAATCTCGGAACATGAATTCCAGTGCAAGTTTTGCCATCAATTTTCATGTTGATTTGGGGAATACTGAACTTCTCTAGATCTATGATCTGTTTTCTAGAAAATAAACTCTAGATAAGCACTAGGATGATTTAAGTTCTGTTACTGGTAACTTTTACATGGTCTTCACTCAATGTCTTTTAAAAACACCAAACTTCAGACGCTTAGTCAAAATAAACTCTCATTTACTTGACTCTTCAAACACTGTCACCGATTCTAATACATGTACTTTTTAAATGATACTGTGTTTATAGCCCCCTGCCAAATGGGCTTAATACAGCTGCACTTTCGGCCTAAAGGGTGCCTCCTTCCTAACAATGAGTTAAATTATTTAGTCCTTTCAGATGTGGAGCGTTGAGCACGAGGGAGACCCCGGACCATACCATTTTCCTAAGCCCTCGCCTCACCTCACTCAGCATTCTATTTCCACTCGGGCTCTCAGGGATGCAACACGGTTCTGGTTTTGGGTAGCTGTTTTCGTTTTTCCAGAAACTGGTCAAAGTAGCTAAAAAGATGGCCTTGTGTTGACTGTCTGCTCTGGGCTCTGCCATGGCTGTTGGCCTCTGCCCATGTGACTGATGCCGACCACAAACACTCTGTTTCTGAGATGATTTAATTTCTGGGCCCTCTTGCCAAGCCTCCAATGTTCTTAGGCCCCACAAAAAGGCATTTTTTCCGCCTCCCGCCCCCACTCCCAGACTCCAGCGAAAACAAAGGAGTATGACATCTGCCCTCCCCGCCGCCGCCGCCGCACGCCTCCCCGCGGCTCCCACTCAGCTCTCGCGGGGGCTCCCGCCACCGGCATCCCCCCGCCCGGCGGGCCGCGCGAGGCCGAGGACGACTCCCCGGCCGGGGGCCCCGGGCCGCGGCTCTCCCCCGGGAGGCCCACCCAGGCCTCCCTCTCGTCCCTACCCCCGCTCCCCAGGCGCCGCTCCCCCCGGGTTCGGGTCCCAGGTTACAGAGCGAAATGGCTCCTTGAGGAGGCAGGGCCGGGCCAGACGTTCGGGGGTCCCTCCCCGGCCCCCGCCATCGCCCCCGGGCCTCCCCTGCCTCCGAGCCCGCTTTCTCCTCATCTTCCCGACCAGCGCCCGCCAGGGGAAGCGGAGGGAGGGGTGTGTGCGATGGGGCGGGGGTTGGGTAACGGCAGCCCAGCCCCGGGAGGGGCCGCCGAGGGGTCCTGCCCGACCCCGGCCCGGGCCGAAGGAGGCTCCAGCTCCCCTCTCGCACGCCTCCTCGCCGGGCCCAGGACCTACCCGTCCATTGCCGAACCGGACAAAGCTTCGCTCACAAGAACCGAGCCACGCAGCCAGCGAGACACACAAGCGGCGAGAAAATGGCGGCCGGGGCCCGACGGAAATTGCCGAAGGTGCCGGAGCGCACAGGGCAGCGCGCGGCCGCGGCGGCGGCGGAAAGAGCCGAGCGCGCCGGCGCCGGGCGGCGGGAGGCGAGCGGCCGGGCGCGGGGACGAGGGGGAGTGGGCGCCGCCGCCGCTGCCGCTGCCGCTTCCGCCTCCGCGCCGCCGCGCGCCCGGGGCCCTCCGCCCTCCGCCCTCCGCCCTCCGCGCCCGGGCCCGGGCCTGCCGCTGGGAAGCATGGCGCCCTGGCTTCCTCGTGGATGCTCCTCGAAGAAGTGGTCCCCGTTGTCCTCCGGGAGTGGTGTGGTCGGACTCCTCCCAACCCTCCGCAGCCAGTGCCTTGGATCTCAGGAGGGGCGCCCCGGGACTGCAGGACTGCCCCCAGGCAGCTTCCACTTTTCCCTCCAAACCGAGTCCCTGCTTGGCTGCTCCCGACCTATGGGGGCCAAGGAAAAACTACTTTATGGCTTTCCTCCTGTGCCATCTGTTATTTGCGACCCTTTTCATCCTTTAAAACAAAAATCAAAAAACTTGACCCCGTTAAAGAAGAACGCTACTTAGTAAAAACAATACTTTTCAAAGCAAGTAGATGTCATCAGACTGAAACAGGCTTTTGCTTCCAGATATTTGTCGTTCTATGCCAAGTGGAGGAAATTCTCGCCTCAGTTGAGGATCAGTGAGCGCCTGTAGGAAATAGTCACCGTAGCTGGATGGGAAAGCACACAGGTTGAGATGTGTTGAAGAGGTGGTACAGAACACCGATAGTTGTGATCTAGGGTTTGGGAGCTTGAAAGGGGAGGTGGAGATGGAAGTGGTGGCTCAGTCTTCCCCAGTGGCTAGCGATGGAAGAAACGTTAAAATGGGCTACACAAATTGACTCCCTTTTCTGTATGTCTCATGGTCTCCATTATAATTTTAATAGCATATAGGACATTTCCTTTAAAGCGTTTTTATGAGAGGCTCAACAAAGTCTGAGAAGGCACCCATTTTTGGAAAATTTGCTCAGGGAGTGACTGCTTTGCCAGCAACTTTTCCTCTGCTCCACCCAACACCCCCAACCACAACACACACACAAATGCACTTCTAATCCTGAGAAATGAGAAAAATTTCCTCTGTCTCTCCTGTTACCCTCAATGCCGGCTCTGGGTTTTCCTATATCTCCTTCAGGCAAACCTCTTACCCCTGTACTAATTGGAATTTCAGTGTACTAACTGGTACCTTCGGTATAATTAATAAAATTATATAATTTTTGTAGTTGGACAAAAACTGAAAGAGCATCTTGTCCAAATATTTTGTTATAGAACTTTTCAAAGCACTCAAACATTAAACATTCTTGATTTGCCTCAGAGATTGGCAACCCTTGAAAAAAAGAAATCCGTTTCCTACAACACCCTCCCTTCAGCTTAACCATTGACTTATGATACATAAAGGACCCATTACCAGAGCCATTAATAATCACTTTTCAAGTATTTGTGGGTTTGTACATGTATTTTCACTCAACAATTAAATATGTAAGCTCCCAAAGGGCAGGAACTCTAACATAATTCTCTGTATTCCCAGCATGGACTCAATCAATATTGATTGATTGGCTCTTGCTTTATCTTGGCAAAGACAAACTGTTCCGTGAGGGAAAACTGTCCTTAGGTGGCAAAAGAAATTATAGTATTCACAAAAACACGTTTTCTTTATTTTTTTTCTCCTAATAAAGTACAAGATTAGAAACAAACAGTAGTCAGTATGCTTGTTTTATTTAAATCCATCACTTTCTAGAAAAGATTTAAGATTGTTTACAAGACACATAAAGTACTAGATGAAAGAAATAAAGTGAAATAAGAAAGAATAAAACAAAAAGACAAAATATAACATGGAATCAGGAAAAAGGCTAGTGTAACAACGTATATCACAAAAACATGATTGGAGACTGGGTTCAAGTTTGAGCTCTTTCATTTAGTGGCTGGGTGACATTAGGCATGTTCATTAACCTCTCAAGGAAAAAGTTTCCTCTACTGAAAATAATGGGATTTCCTTTACTGAAAGTGAAAATGGAATTTAAAATAGGGCCTTCATCCTAGATGATTAGGAGATCTAAATGCCGTGACGTATGTGCAGCACCTCCCTAGCTCGGTGACAGGCTACAATAAATACTTAATAAAGGATGCTATTGTCATCTTTATTATTTTTGTTATTAATTATTATTCATTTGAAAAGAAACGTCACAAATTTGGCTCTTGGATTTTTAGCAACCAGCAATATTCATATAAATAAATCTATATTGAGATTTTCACAAAGGTTAAACATGTCACTAAAGTAATTAGATTGACTGGTATCTAGTGGAATAAATCTGGGAAAATGTCATAGATAAATTTCTAAAACCCCATCCAAATCTAAATTTGTATGATTTTATGGGGTAATCATGGGGTAGATTATTAATCTCAATGTTAGCAGATGGCCAACCTTTGTAATATATGAGAAGATTATATTAGTGTTTATGGATTCCTAACAAAATAAGGCAATAAAAAATGAAGTGCCTGTACAGTATTATTTTCATACCCATATCTTTTTTCAGTATAATGATTTGTTCTTTCCTTTCTGAATGGCAAATGTTTGACCTTTTACAGAGGTTTACACTATGTGAACAATGATTAAATCTAAATTTCAGTGTATGCTAAGCCCAAATGAGGTTTAATATTGATGCAATAAAAATAGGAAATAAGATCTTGTTCATAATGTTCTGATTTATTCCTAGCCCCACCTCTCATCTGCTGATAGTACTAAAGACTTTGTTTAACTTTTTCATGCTGCAGTTTCTTCTTATGAAAGGGGGGAAGCATAATAGGATCAATTAGAGGGGTTTTTTTGGTAGGTATTTTAGGACAGGTGATTTAAATTCAAAATAAAGAAAACAAATTCAAAAGGCATAAAAGCATAGACAAAATGCCCAAAAGGACAAATAGAGACACAAAGTAGATTAGTGGTTGCCTAGGGCTGGGAGTGAGAATGGAAAATAACTGTAAAGGGACACAACGTTTCTTTTTAGGATGATGGAAATGTTTTAAAACTAGATTGTGGTGATGGCTGTACAATATACTAAATATATTAAAATTCCTTGAATTATGCACAATACTGCTGAATTTCACAGTATGTAAAGTACATATCAATAACACTATCACAAACAGGAGAAGCAGATACTTTCTACTCCTGCTCCCCAGCTACTGAGTCCCATTTTCCAGAGGCAACCTATCCTACTAATTTATTGCGTATCCTTCCAGATATGTTCTAATGCATAAATTGATTGCACACATAGTTTTCTTTTTTCAAAGTAGTTACTATAGCACACACTGTTCTGCAACTTATTTTTTTGCTTAAAAAACATATCAGAGGTTTTTCCTTACCAGTACATTTAGAACTGCCTCATTCTTTATGACTGCATAATATTCCACCAAATAAGTAAATCATGATTTATTTAACTAGCTCTCATTGATGGACTTTTAGGTTGCCTCCAATCTTGCTATTTACAAACAAATCTGCAGTGAATATCTTTGTTTCTAAGGCATTTTCCACATGTGTGAATATATCTGCTGGATAAATACAACAAATTAAATTCCTGGGTAAAATGCATTTTTAATCTTCAAAGATGCTATCAAATTGCCCTCCAGGTCCTTGAGTCCTTGTGGGAAAATATTAGCAATTCCTATCATAAAAAAAAAGGGCTGATTTCTTTAATATATAAGGAGTTCCTACAAACAAAAAGTCAAAGGCCAGCAACCAAATAGATAAAATGGATAAATCATATGAATAGATTATGAACAAACATTATAGAAAAGTAAAAACAAATAGGGGCTGGCCCCATGGCCGAGTGGTTTAGTCCGCGCGCTCCACTGCCAGCGACCCAGTGTTTCGTTGGTTCGAATCCTGGGCGCGGACATGGCACTGCTCATCAAACCACGCTGAGGCAGCGTCCCACATGTCAAAACTAGAAGGACCCACAACGAAGAATATACAACTATGTACCGGGGGGCTTCGGGGAGAAAAAAGGAAAAAATAAAATCTTTAAAAAAAAAAAAAAAAAGTAAAAACAAATATGCTCAGCCACACTTATAATAAGAGAAATTCAGGGTAAAACTGTACTCTCTTTTTCACCTGTCAATGCCCACCTCATCCCCCACCCCCTGGGGAGACATAACACAAAGCTTCCTGAGTACTGAGAAAAAGGATTCCTTTCCAAACTATCAATAATGTGTGAATGTAGAATAAAGATACTTGTAGATACACTAAATGTCAAAAAGTTTGTTTCCCATGCATTTTTTTCT